CCACCACTGGACCCAGTATTCACTGGTTAACTTGATAGGTATTTTTGCACCTACAAAAATAAAGAACCACACAGGACAAGAGTTAATTTTCAACCAAGCTTTTTGCAAAAATGGGAGAATCACAGCAACAACCTCTTAAGTGCTGAAAACTGTGAACTCTGGATTCTTTCTGCTTTGGTTCGTCTTTTATTCACAGCGTGTGTGCTTAAAAACAGGTTCAGAAAAAACAGTTGCATGAAGATACAGAACATCTTGTGATTTTCCATTATGCACTTCTCAGAAACTGATGTTCCTGTCAGTTTATCTCGCTTTGCACGCACATAGCCACAAGGTCAGATAATCAACAAACAGTGGAAGATTGATAATTATATGATTAAAAACTCTGTCAAACTGGTCACCATTAACTTCACGCAGACTCTCTCACTGGTACATTTCCATCTTTAAATCACTTCTTGGTCTGCTGCCTTCATACATCTCCTCCTACATGTCTCTGTGTGAGTGCAGCTACAGCATGCGCTCTCAGGACATCATTACCTGCAGTGTTCCCTCAATGAGGACTGAACTAGACAAAAGGGCCTTCTCCTACTCCACTCCTTGCAAAAAGATCTGAAGCTCTCGACCTTTGACCTCTCTAAGTGGCTTTAAGAATCTGTTGGACTCCTGGCAGGGACCAATGCAGACACGTTCCTGTTTTTGTTTTCTACATTCGCCTTAGAATCTAGCTGTTTTTGTTACTTTTTTGGCATCTTATTTGTATTTTTAAAAAAATCAATACACCTCTTTTATGATTGTCTATTGTTGTCACTGTTGTCATCACTTTGTTGAAATCAGGTCTCTCTTGTAACTGAGTCCTCGAGGCTCAATGGGATTAACCTGTCTAAATAAAGGTTGAATGAAACGCGCAACATTGAGGTGCCTCCCCTCCTCCTCCAGCCCATTCAACAAAACCCACCCGAAGAGATGAGCACCTACTGAATTCCTGCTTGCTGCCTGCTACGATAGATGACGGAGGAGGAAGCTGTTTCTTAAAGGGAAATTATGGCATCCACCATGCCTCTGATACCACCCACCCCCCCACCCCTCACCACCACCGAAAAAAACCCTCTTTGGATCTGGACAATTCATGTAAATTACATATTTTAGTTTGAAATTGGCGAATTTTGCCAAAAAGCCACTAGTTTGCATGTAACTGCATTACAGCTTGAACTAAAAATACATTTTGGGTTCCTTCTTTCACCTTTTTTCTCCCTCTACTTCTGACTGTCGTCTCGTCTCTAGTTTCACAGAGCGGTGCTACACCGCAGCAGCTTCACAGGCAGGAGCCGGCAGTGTTGGCTTTTCAAAATAAAGTAAATTTTAACCTTTCATGATATTAAAATTTATTTCTATTCTATATGAACCTTTATTCTGAAGCTGTGGCGGCTTGTATTTTACCGTGGCGGTGCGCCACGAAAATGTACATGTAGAGGAAACCCTGATGTTAAATATTCCATAAGCATATAAGAACATGTGCTCCGATGGACACACAGTTGGACTTTTAGGCCATAATTCCACAAGATGTGTTTGGTGCAGGAACAAAACCTGCACCAAGATCCCCAAAGAACACATGCCCATGGTGAAACGTGGTGGCAGCCTTTTGATGTGGTTTCTTTTCTGTACCAGGAACTGGGGTTTAAGTCAAATTAGTTTGTTTTTGGCCTGAAACCTTCAGGTGTGAGAAATAGAAATGATTCTCACCCTTGATTCAATGATTGAATGATTCACATCCTTCCAAGGCAAACTTATTATGAGCCAGTTGAAGCAGATGGCCACTCATCCTGAGCCTGGTTCTGCTGGAGGTTTCTTCCTGTTAAAGGGAGTTTTTCTTTCCACTGTCTCCACCGTGCTTGTTCAGGATGGGAGACTGCAACGAAGCCAAGATTCAACAAGGCTGCTGGATTTCTTAGACAGAGAACTTTTACTAATTGTCATCAAAGTCCATGCTCAATAGTCCAGGTATAAAATCCAACATTGTTCAGTCAGGTCATCAGGACGGTTTCTTTTTTTGGTGCTGAGACATTTCACTCTCCATCCGAAGGACTTCATCAGTCTGAGGAAACGCCAAACAAAACTGCTTCTCCACCAATAGCCTAAACCAAGGTGGAAAAAAAACAGTTATGTTGGTTCTAAGATGGCCTTTGGGGCACACCCTCTCCTCCAGTGTCCACCTTCTCCTTCATTGACAGTCATGTAGTGAACTAAGCCTCAGGTCAAAAGTCTTCCTGGGACAGGAACTGTTATTTCATTGATTTGAGTCCAGAAACACAGATTAAGCTCATCCAGAGACTTTCTAAGTGTGTCCTGCACGGATCAATTGAAAGAACACTCTCTGTTTATTATCATTACTATTTTACAATATCTTGATAATCAAAGTGTGTTTAGTTCAAACCATTTTAAATGTTGAAATGAACTACTCATTTTAAATCAACTGTGAAACAGTATAAATGATTTTTAATCCTCATTCAAAGTAGAAATCAAGTTAAAATGTCTGTTACAAGAGTAATTATTCATTTTTGATCTTCTATCTGAAATGAGAAGGAGTGAGTCGGTCTAAAGTCAAGGAACGGTCAAAAACATGTTTATCGGAACGAAATGTCATGTTTAACTCTCTCAGATAGATGGAAGGAGACTGGCTCCTAAATGTCTCTGTTTCTTCAAAACATTTCTCTGTCTGTTCTTAAAACATCTCACTGTTTTTCTGACTTGTAATAACCTCTTACGTCACTAAAACCACACCCCTGTTGGTTCGTTCAACCAATCAGGAAGTTCTCAGAGGAACCGGAAGTGACCTCTTTAAAAGGGTCGACACTTCCTAGTTCCAAGCAGAACAAGAGTTCCAAGCAGAACAACGTTCCAGAGAGAACCAGAGTTCCAGGGAGAACCCCGAACGAGAAGTTCAGAGGAACAGAAGGTCCGAGCAGTTTCTAATGGAGTGACAAGAGTCCGTCGATGCCACGACGTCTCGCTGTGGCTCTACCCGACGAACGCTCTGAACAATGAGGAAGTCTGTTCTGTGATAGTCTCACGACTCCTGAGGTCACAGCTGTCCTTACGGAGACGCTGAAAAGCGTTGAAAGGCAACTCTACACCGAAGCCGAAACTATCGTCTGCAAAGGTAAAGAGTCGATCTTCAACTGCGAAGTGTACCGTGGGTTAAGCTGCGTCTAACGGAGCGTGTGGTTCTGGTTATACAGACACTTTCCCTCATCCATTTTCTCCATTTAAACTTCATTTTTCCCATCTTTAAACCTCTATCTTGCCAGTTCCTTAGGTGCAGATATCCTCAGAAATGTCTGTTGGTTTCAAAAGCTGCAAGTGAGAAAATCATGGCCGTATGATTTTCTCAGTGCAAAGCTCATTAATTAAGCTGTGTTATTGTAATCAATCTGCCAATTAATGTAAATGTGTGATGTTGTTTTAAATCGTTTTTAATTAAACGGCTCACTGTTGTGGTGAGTCAAAGATAAAACACGTTTCCGTCCACATTTAATCATTCAAGGCACGATAGTACTCAGTCCAGAAAAATAAAAGAATCCGTTTAAATTATGGATAATATCAGACGCATATTATCTTTCATTACAGTCATGTCAATTTTACTAAATGGCTTTTTTATGTATGTGAATGTTTCTTTCAGTGCCCTGAGACAACTGAGAAATTTTTCTTGTCCCGCCCATAACTTCTGATTTGCTCAAGATGATTTATTGAAACTTGATACACATTTGTACCACCACAGCATGTCACATAATCTTTTCATCACCTCAGCTCTAAGGTCAAGGTCACAAATCAAGGTCAAATGGTATGCAAGTAATTTGCTTGTCTGGGCCATCGCTATAGATTGCTGTATAATAGTTTGTTGATGAGTGTATATTGTGCTATACAAGTGTATTCTTGTCCAAATTGGCAATGACTTCAGCTTTAAAGTAAACAAAAAGGCTTCACCAGAATAAAATGAATTTTTTGACATATCCAGAGGTGATCTGAAGAGTGCTGTTCACAAGAGATGTCCACCCAGTTTGACAGATGTGGAGTATTTTTGGAAGGCAATTGGACTTGTTGGACCAGATCCGACCTTGAAAAATCAGTCCATGCCTTCATTACAACCCGTCTGGACTACTGTAACTCGCTTTATGCTGGGTCAGTCAGGTCTCTCTTTCACGTGTCCAGCTTGTCCAAAATGCTGCAGCTCGGCTACTAACAGGAACTCACAGGTTTGAGCACTTCACCAGTTCTGTCCTCCCTGCACTGGCTTCCTGTGCGTGTCAGAATCGATTTTAAAATTCTCCTGCTGACATTCAAGTGTATCGATGGCCTTGCACCCTCACACCTCTCTGACCTTCTTCATCCTTATGCTCCTTCTCGAGCCTTGAGATCATCAGACCAGCTGCTTTTGGCCGTACCAAGAACCAGCTGAAGCTCAGAGGAGATCGGGCGTTTTCAGTCGCGGGCCCTAAACTCTGGAACAATCTGCCCATCAACATTCGACAGGCCACTTAGAAAACACACCTGTACTCATTGACATTTAATACAGGGTGATCTGTTTTACTATTTCATTGCTTCTGATAATGTTTTGTGTTCTCGTGTTTTTATTCTGTATGCTGTAATTATATTTTGTTATACAAATACATTTGACTTGACTTATATTACCAAGCCAAGTTGTGCTGAGAGACTCCTTCCTAACTATGTAGGCTGTAAAGAAACCTGAAAGTGTTCCATATAAAGTATTTATTTCAGGGCGTGTACCCTTATGCAACCAGGTACTTGCATCATCTTTTTGTTTTTTATATTTTTTTCCTATGACAGAATTTTTTTTCAGCTGTGCAGGGTATATGGCACAGTAAGGGTGAAAAAGTTTGACAGTGATTCCTCTTTTTTTCATTATAAAAACCTTTCATTGTAGCTGGGAAGTGTAGAAACTGTGTTGATGTCTTGTATTGAAGAAACTTATCTCTGTTGCAATCTAGGTTGACAACAACGTAACCCGCCACTTGGATAGCACCCTTAAGAGAGATGACTGGGACATTTTGATCCTTCACTACCTGGGCCTGGATCATATTGGTCACATCAGCGGACCCCATAGCTCACTCATCCAGCCCAAACTGCTGGAGATGGATGATATCCTAAAGAAGATCCACAGTTCTCTTGTTTCAAAGGTAACGTTTTATTAATCCACATGATGTTGTCAAGTTTTTTTCTTCATTAACACTATTTTGAGATATTTAATAGCCAATGATATGCAAGGGCTACGGTAGTTCAGCGGTCAGTGCCATGGGTTTGAGCCCACGTTGCATCAGGATGGGCATCTACCATAAAACAATTTTTGAATCTTTCATGCCAGTTCCTTCTCTGTGTTGACCCCTGCAGGAGAGGCCAGGCAAAAGAAAAACGGCAACAATAGTCATTTCATTGATCAAGTATTTCTCATTAGTTCTAATTGTTTGACGTTAAGTCATTACTTAATGAAGTGATGTGTGTTGCAGTCATTATATTCACACACAACATTTAATCCATTACACATGTGAGATGCACCGAAGTGGAGCAGCTGGCAGCTATTTAAGCACCTGGGGAGCAGTTAGGGATTAGGTGTCTTGCTCAAGGACACCACAACATGCGGCAGGATGGGGAATCTAACCTGTCACTTTCTGGTCCCAAGACGACTGCCCTACCACTGCTCAACAGTCACCCCCATTGAGCTTAGGGCCCTTCAGGCCAGGATCTTCACAGCGTTTGAGAGAGAAGTCTCAAGTGTTTACTTTGAGTAAAGCTGTACTTTGTAAAAAATAAATGCAGAAAGTTACAAAAGTCTTTTTTAGATGTGTAGTTGAGGTAGCTGAATTAAATGGAATTAAACAAATCAAATCCAATCTGCGCCACGGCTCCTTCAAAAGATCACAAACTGTGTTTTAAGTCTTAAAATGAACTCGTGATCAACTTTTGTTTTGCTAGGCCTAAAATATTTGCTCGGCCTTTAGTTTTGGTTGAAGTGATAAAAAGTATTCATTCTGAATTATCGCCCACCTCTGAAAAGTGAACAATAAAGTTTTTGTTTGTGTGGGGTTACTTCTCAGTCTGTTAGCAAAATAACCATTTAAATTTTTGGACTATTAAAAAAATAAAATAATAAAAAACCTCTTGAATCAACTCTTTCTACTGACAAATTATTTCATCAGTCACTGTATAGACTTTATTGAAACTTTTCAGAAAACGTACTGGATGTAAAAGTAGAACAGATTAATTATTGGAGTCAACCCAATTCAATGAACCTGCCAGTATTGATTGTGTTCCTGCACAATGCTATTTTCAAGGTTTTAGTAAAACAGCTGTTTGTTTGCAACATAACGTGGTCTTATTTTAAAACTCAACATAAAGTGATCTTAGTTTAAAACGAACATGGACGGCAGGAATATTATTTCCTTTAAAAATGTCAGGCCTTTAATTTGTTATGTTTTTAGGTTAGGTTTTGCTGCTAAAGCCAGCTGTACTCTTCAAAACTTACTTCAGCTTTGCATTTTTTAGAATAAAAATGGCATGGCATGTTAAAGATAGTAAAACAGACTACTATGAAATATTGATCAGTTTGTAATCTAATAATAGGAATTTATCTGAATTTTCAGCGTGATCAGATTTTAGGCATTTAATTACACAAATAGTTTTTGCTGTTCTCTGCAGTCCTTATGTTATCTATTGCAGCTTCTCCTGAGATTTAATAAACTGTTAAGTTCTTATCTTTCTTTTGTCTGTGATCAGCACACAGGTTGTGTTGATTTTTAATTTTTTTCTGTGATCCTCCACTCATATTGTTTTTGTGCTGTGTATGTATGTGTGTGTGTGTGTGTGTGTGTGCGTGCCTCTGTGTGTGTGCATGTGTGTGTGTGTGTGTGTGCGTGTGCTCCAAAAGGGTGTTGTCTCTGCAATTTAGCTTAAATTTTCATGTTGTGTCTGTGTAAGACTGCAGTTTCCTTTTGTGTCCCCCGTCAAGGAGCAAAAAAGGGGTGTAGCGGTTAAAATCCTGTATTTTAGGCTCCTGGTTGCTGTTGTTCCTGGTAGGCTTTGGTTTTACCTGCGCTCAATCAAGATTCACTATGCAGATCTTCATTTCGACTTATAAATCATAAAATCATTTATTTCCCTCACTATGTCCATTTACATTGCCATTTCCATTTAGAAAACAAATAAATCTGCCTTGACTCTAAACTAAACACAGTAGAAAACAGTTTGTCCCTTCTCATTAGCAACACCTGAACAGAATCACACCTGCCCTTAAGTAACCACCTTCCTCTGCGGACGTATTCAGTACACAAAATGAAATGCACCCTCTAGTGGAGATAAACACAGAAAAACAAGATAAATGGCTCCTGCTCGCCAGCCCCTAATTGCGTGTGGCAGAAGACATAGCAATTACCAAACTTAAATTAAAGGAGCCATAAGTCCATATATATCCTGGATGTAACTGGGACCCTGTGTACATAATTTCGCTCCACCACATGCACCACTTTAAGTGCGAATGACAATAAAGAAACTCTGACTCTGATCCATAGACAAAATATACATAAGAGGCAAATCCGGTTTACATGTTCATCATCCTACCAGCAATCTATTTTGTCAGTTTGCAGCTTCACACAACAAACACATTTTTGTTACAGGTCTTTCAATAACATTTGTTTTTGTTTGAAAATGAACCACACGTACCAGACCCCTTTTATCTGGAAAAGTTTTAATAACTTTCCCTAACATCCAAGACCCTCGGGATGTTGTGGAGTCCATAACCACAACAACATCTCCAGGCATGAAACACCTTTTCCTTTTTATCCATTTTTGTCGTTCCTGTAATAATGGTAAATACTCTCGAATCCAACGTTTCCAAAAGAGATCCGAGATGTATTGAATTTGTTTCCACCTTCTTTTAGCATAAAGATCTTTATCGTTAAAAAGTCCTGGTGGGAGAGCTGGTTTTCCTTTCATGAGGAGCAAGTGGATGGGTGTAAATGCCTCAAGGTCATTGGGGTCATCTGATAACTTTGTGATGGGAAGATCATTAAGTATTGCCTCAGCTTCACAAAGTAAAAAGTGAAATCCTTCATCGTCCAACATTTGCTGACGGAGCACCGAGTGTAGAATCTTTCTGATCATTCGTATGAGGCGCTCCCAAACACTGTCAAAATGTGATCCAGACGGTGAGTTAAAACTCCATTTGATTCCTTTGTGAGACATTTCCTTCTCAATTTTTCCATTATTTAAAGAGGCTAGAGCTTCTCGTAGCTCTCTTTCTGCTCCTACAAAATTAGTGCCATTATTTGATCTCATGTGAAACTTGTCCTCTTCGAGAGATAAATCTCCACAGTGCATTGATGCATGAGTCAGTATCTAAAGAATAAGCCACTTCTAGATGCACGGCCCTGCTTGTCATGCAAGTGAACACTACTATATAGCGTTTTACAATACTGCGCCCCCTTTTCACATCAATAGGTCCTAAATAATCTACACCAACACTTGTGAATGGTGGTAGATCAGGAATCACTCTTTCCTCTGGCAAGTCTGCCATCTGTTGTTGACTGGTTTTTCTTCCATGCAGCCTGCAGAATAAACATGTTGCTATGACCTTTTTTTACAGCTGAAACACCATTTGTTATCCAAAATGTTCTTCTTATGACTGAGAGGACATGATTTCTACCTCCATGACCAAGCTGCAAGTGGAAATGACGGAGGATAAGGTTGGAGATGTGCTGGTCTTTTGTCAGAATGAGGGGATGTTTGATGTTCTCAGGGATGGCTGCTTTACTCAGTCGGCCTCCAACACGCAGAAATCCATCCTGTAGCACAGGGTCCAGTTTGTAAATCTGGCTACTTCTGGGTATTTCTAAGCTATGGGATAATGCAGCAAACTCATCAGGGAATCTTTCCCTTTGGCAAAAAGAAATTATGGCCATCTCAGCTTCTGTGAAATCATCTAGAGACACACTTTGGTTTCCCAATGAGTTTTTGAGAGTTTGCATTTTTTTCGTCAACTCCAATGTTGAAGTTCCAGTCGTAATTGCATTGGCCAGCTGTAATTCCTTTTTTCTTTTACTTAGTTTCAACAGAACTCTTTTTTGCTTGATGAACCAAGCAACTGCAGACTTTCATTTTTGCCATTCTGAGAATAATGCTATTAACTGAGAAGTGGCATTTGAGCTGATGACTGTTGCATTCATCAAGGACTTTTTCTTTACTTCTGGGTCATCGGTAGTCATACTGAAATCCATTGGAGACTTTGGCCACGTCTCTTCAGGTTCCCACAAAAATGTAGGACTTTCCATCCATTGTTGGTTCAAAAGGCTGTCAACTTTTAACCCACGGGAAGCACAATCTGCAGGGTTTAAAGATGAAGGCACATGTCTCCACTGTTCAACTTCTGTGCTATCCCTTATTGTTGTTATTCTGTTAGCAACAAAAGTTTGAAACCTTTTGTCTTCATTTTTTATATACTTTAGAACTGATGTGCTGTCAGTCCAAAAGCAAGCCTTCTCCAATAGCAGCTGAAGCTCTGCCTCAAGTATCTTATTTAGTTTAACAGCCACAACAGCGGCTGTGAGCTCTAGGCGTGGAATAGTAATAGGTTTGAGTGGAGCTACTCTGGCTTTACCAAACAGGAATGATACGTGAACTCTCCTGTTGATATTCTGCATTCTATTGTATGTAGCTGTACCATACCCATTCTCACTAGCATCAGAGAAATGATTCAACTGGGCATTAACCACTTTACCAAACCCTTCAGGTTTGATGCACATTCTGACTTGGAATTCAGCTAATTTTTCTAAGTCTTTCAGCCACCTGTTCCACTTTTTTTTTGGAAAGCTGGAGGAATAGGGTCATCCCAGCCCCATTTCATCCTGCATAGCTCTTGTAACAACAGCTTGGCAGGGAGTATGAGAGGTGCTAGGAATCCTAGCGGATCATAAATGGAACTGATGATTGACAACGTACCTCTTTTAGTGGGATTCCTTTCTTTGACTTTCAGTTTGAACTTAAAATTGTCTGTCTTGGTACACCACTGTAAACCTAGTGCTCTGTCCACAGGTAGCTCATCATTGTCCAAGTTCAGTTCACAAATGGTCTGGGAACTAAGCTCTCCTGGGATACGTTGGAGCACTTCTCGGCTGTTGCTAATCCATTG